CACCCTGGTCAACACCTAAGGCTTTGCCCCAAACTACGTAACAGGTGAGCCAAGAAAAAAAATGGCGCAATTGAAAGAACAGATCAAAGCTCAAAAAAATATATAACTAAATGATTAAGGGATAGCCAACTTATCAGATGCACAGTTCAAAACACTGGTGATCAGGATGCTCACAGAATTGGTTGAATTTGGTTGCAAATTAGATGAAAAAAATGAAGGCTACACTAAGTGAAATGAGGAAAAATGCACAGGGAACCAATAGTGATGGGAAGAAAACTGGGCCTCAAATCAATGGAGTGGACCAGAAAGAAGAAAGAAACAACAAACACAAAAGAATGAAGAAACAAGAGTTCGAAAAATGAGGAGAGGCTTAGGAACCTCCAGGACACCTTAAACATTCCAACACCCGAATTATAGGGGTACCAGGAGGGGAAGAGGCTTCCTTTCAACAAGAAATTGAAAACTTATTTGAACAAATAATGAAGGAGAACTTCCCCAATCTGGCAAAGGAAATAGACTTCCAAAAAGTCCAGGAAGCTCAGAGAGTCCCAAAGAAGTTGGCCCCAAGGAGGAACACACCACAGCACATCATAATTACATTAGCCAAGATTAAAATGAAGGAGATAATCCTAAAAGCAGCAAGAGAAAAAGACAGTTACCTACAAAGGAATTCCCATCTGTCAGCTGATTTCTTAAAAGAGACCTTACAGGCAACAAGAGGCTGGAAAGAAGTATTCCAAGTCAAGAAAGGCAAGGACCTACATCCAAGATTGCTCTATCCAGCAAAGTTTTCATTTAGAATGGAAGGGCAGATAAAGCATTTCTCAGATAAGGTCAAGTTCAAGGAGTTCATCATTTATTTGATTAAATGTTAAAGGGACTTATCTAAGAAAAATAAGATAAAAAACATGTATAATATAATGACAGCAAATTCATAATTATTAACAACCACACCTAAAACAAAAACAAACTAAGCAAACAACTAGAACAGGAACGGAACCACAGAAATGGATATCACATGGAGGTTTAGCAACAGGGGAGTGGGAGGGAGAGAGGGGGGAAAAGGTACAGAGAATAAGTAGCATAGATAGTAGGTAGAAAATAGACAGGGGGAGGGTAAGAATAGTATAGGAAAAGTAAAAGCCAAAGAACTTATATGTATGATCCATGGACATGAAGTAATGTAGGGGGGAATGTGGATAGGAGGGGGTGTGCAGAGCAGAGGGGAATAAAGGGGCAGGGAATGGGACAACTGCAATGGCATAATCAGTAAAATATATTAAAAAATAAAACTCAATCAGCAGCTTACGCCATACACAAACATAAATTCAAGTTGTATAAAAGACTTAAATATAAGTCATGACACCATAAAAATTGTACAGAAAAAAATAGGCAGGAAAATCTCAGCTAGTCCTTGCAGCAATATTTTCACCGATATGTCCCCTACAGCAAGTGACATAAAGGAAAGAATAAGCAAATGGGATCTCATCAGAATAAAAAGCTTCTGAACAGCTAAGGAAAACAGCATTAAAATGAAAAGAAAACCAACTGTATGGGAAAACATATTTGCCAATGATACCTCAGACAAGGGTTTGATGTCCAAGATATATAAAGAACTCACACGAATACACTCTATGAAGACAAACAACCCAATTAAAAATGGGCAAAAGATCTGAACAGATGTTTCTCCAAGGAGGACATACAGAGGACCCAGAGACATATGAAAGGATGCTCAGCATCACTAGCCATGAGAGAAATGCAAATTAAAACCACAATGAGATACCACTTCACACCAGTAAGAATGGCCATCATAAACAAGTCAACAAACAACAAGTGTTTGAGAGGATGTAGAGAAAAGGGAACCTAAGTGCACTGCTGGTGGGATTGCAGACTGGTGCAGTCACTATGGAAAACAGTATGGAATTTCCTCAGAAAACTAAAAATGGAACTGCCTTTGACCCAAAAGTTACACTGCTGGGATTATATCCTAAAAACCCTGAAACACCTATCCAAAACTGTTGGGAAGTGCCCTTCCTGGTTTCAAAAGCTATAACCCCACCATGGCTAAGGCTGAGTGAGAGACCTTCAGACCTTAAGCCATTAAGGAGACAAAGCTTATCTTCCCAGCAGGAGCACCACTTGTGAACACATTACTTAACCCTGCCTGGCCCCCAGTGCATGGCAGGTTAGCCAATGACAGGTAAGATTCCTCAAAGAAGTGATGACCTAAGACAGGCATGGCCATAAAGGGACCCTCAGGGAAGGACTTGGGGGCTATAGAAAAAGGGGTTGGTGGACCCTTGCCCCTGGGCTTTGACACAGCCTGTGTGCTCATTTTGTCTGCAAGAAGTTTCCTAATCCATTGGCTGCCTTACTTCCCCTGCCTGATTTAAGCCTGAAACAATGACAGAGGGTGGTGCAGTCCTGTGCTGGAAAGTGAGGGTTCCCCAGGAAGATCAGGCCTAAGAAAGAATACATAAAATCCTGTGAAACCTGCTTTACAAAGAATGCTCTCTATTTTTCTAATAAGGGTTTGAGCTGGAAATGGGTTTGTTTCCCAAAGTTTTATAGCCCTTTAGCTAACAGACCCTGACTCAGAATAAGCCCTCAGAGTTCTTTGTATGTTGTCTATTGTTTGATCCTTATTTCCTGACAATGATTGATGAGCTTTACCTATATTCCTATGCAAAATGAACCCAATAAAAGCCCGTTGAGGAAAAGGCTCTTGGCCTTTCTCCTTTGAGAGATCAGCCACCTTTCCTCCCCAAGCAGATCATGTCTTGGTGGACTTATTCTCATCTGTGGTGGCCAGGGGGCCCTGTGGGTGGAGCCCCCAACTGTACTTGAACAACAATAAAAGAAAGAAAAAGAGAGAGAGAAAGAAAGAAAGAAAAGACAAAAGAAAGAAAAAATAAATGTGGGTCTAAAGGCAGAGCTGAGGTTGGGCAGAAGTCACATGGGTTGTGTAATGGAGTAACCAGAGTCAGTGGAGCAGAGAAAGTCACCAGAAACACCTCAAAGTAAAGAGTGGATATATGGATACCTTAGGAACTTCAATTCATAAGAAATGGGTCACGGAAAGAGGAGTCAGTGAAGAACTTTAAAAAGAATGGGAAACTAGGAGAGAGTGGTTTTATAGAAGCCAAGAAATAAGAGTTTTCAAGTTGTACTTAGAGAATATCCAACCACCAGTAGCTTAAACAAGTACTGATTTGCCACAAAGAAGATGTCCAGACCTGGTAGAGCAGATCAACAAGTCTATCAGGGACTTAGGCCCTTCCTCTTTCTCCTACCACCATTGTTAGCATTTAGCCTTCATGTTTATGGTCACAAGGTGGTTGGTATATTTTCTAGATAGAAAGAAAAAGGAAAGGAGAAAGGGTGAAAGGCAGTATAGGTGTCTCTTATCAGAAAAGCAAAAGCATTGCTAGAAGCCCTATATACGTCCCATTGGTCCAACTCTTTCACTTGGCCATTCCTAACTGGAGGAGGACTAGAAGAACTGTGGCTAAAAGTTGGGTTAACCACTCAGTTTTTTGCAACAGAATATAATAAACGAAAGCTACCAGAAGGTCAATAAAGATGAATTGAGGGGTGGGAGGACACTAAAGGAGGACACAGCTGTATCAGAAAGCTCCCCGCACCACAGCCCCACAACTTTATTAAAGCAATTTCAGGAGTTTATTAGGCATGGAGAGAGTTGTTGAAGACTAACTGGTGGATGAGAAATGAGAATAAATGGTTCTTTCCTAATGTTGGAAAAGGAGAAGAATGTAGGAAGCAAAATTCTAAAGGAGAGGTATAATAGAGATATTTTGCTTGGTTAGAATTGTGGGTACTTGAGTATGTTTAAAGGCCAAGGAGTAGGAATAATTGGAAAGGGGGAGATTTAAGGTATAAATGCTGTGAAATAGAGATAAACTGTTGGAAAATGGTCCAAAAAAACCCCCCCCAAAACACCACATAGGTGGCAGGAGATTAAACATATCCCCTTCCTCCAAAACCAGAAAAGGATAACAACGATAGTACAAGTTTAGATATGGGCCTGAAAAAAAAGGTGGAATTGTTGAGAAAATTTTTGGCAAAAACATACTTTAAAACTCTTTTTAAAAATAAACTTTGAATTCACTAGTTTCCAGTTTTAAGAAAGGCATGAGAAAGTTATTAAGATCTCACCAGAATTCAGGTGTGCTTTCTTTATTAGGTTTCTCGACCAGACAAGCTAAATTGAAATCACATTAGGATTTCACTGACGTACTGAACGGAGACCGAGAAGAATGGGATTTTTTTTCTTAAAGCATTTCAATATTTCACTCCCCCCCGCCCCGCTCCTTTCCCGGGTTGGAGAGCCCCGAGCGTATGGAGTTGATACTAGGCATTTTTCTTACTCTTCTGTGGTAACGGAAAGGAGTGAGGAAAAGATGCTAGTAAGAGCAATGGAAAAAGCCCTTACAGAAGCATCCCTAACTTTCTCTGCAAATTTACTTCGATTGTGCTCTTAAACTAGAGCGCCTGGGAGGTGACGCTCAGCAAGACTACAGAGCATGACGCCGCAAAGAGGATCTTCAGAAATCTGGAAAATAATGGAGGCCACGGAGTTGGTCAAACTTTATTAAAGAAGAACGGCCCGTGACTTCCAAAATCAGAGCCAGAATTTGACAAGCCCGCCCTGACGCTCGCCAGAAAATACTTCTTACTTTTCATTGACCGACAGTCCTGAAGTTAGAGCCTTGCTTCATTTTCATTGGCTGTTGCTTCTGTCTCGTCCTTTCACCACACCCACTTTCCCACCGGCGCCCAGTGAGCTTTGCGGGATAGTGATTTACAGAAGCCTGGGCGGGAGCCCGCGCTCGGCGGGAGTGCTCCCCCTCCCCGGTGCCGCGGCCCCGCCCCGCCCCCTGGCCGAGGCCCGCCCTGCCCCGCCCTCCCTCCAGAGAGGGCGGGGACCAGGCGGTGGCCGCAGCTGCAGGAATGTGCTGGAAGCCTGGGGGCGGGCACTGGAGAGGTGCTGAAGGGACAGTTCCCGCGGCGGAACTGGCCGGGGGCTGTTGGGAGGGTGTGGCAGCCCTCGGAGCCGGCCGGGCACGTGAGCGATGGAGACAATATGGATCTACCAGTTCCGCCTCATCGTGATCGGGGACTCCACCGTGGGCAAGTCGTGCCTCCTGCACCGCTTCACCCAGGGCCGCTTTCCCGGGCTGCGCTCCCCCGCCTGCGACCCCACCGTCGGCGTGGACTTCTTCTCCCGCCTGCTGGAGATCGAACCCGGCAAGAGGATCAAGCTGCAGCTCTGGGACACGGCGGGTCAGGAGCGGTTCAGGTAGGGCCGCCGGCGCCGGTAGACCCGGGGACCCCAGGGACCGCGCCGCCCGCCTGTCAGCCCCGGCACCCCAGCCCGGAGCTTCGGGCGCAGGAGCCCTGGGCGGTAGAGACTCTCTGGCCCTTCCCTCTTGAAAGTGCAAACACTCCATTCTCGCTTCCCCTCGCCCCTCCTCTTCCAGGAACGACTTCCTCCTCCGCAATTACTCACTTCTTTCTTTGGCGCCCATCTCCTGCGCGCCCTTTCGGCTTTTCCCTACCCGCCCGAAATGGGGTCACCCTCACGGACCCCCCTCTTCCCCAACTCTCTCGGCCCCAGCTGGTATTTTGGTTTCCAACTCTTCGGCCCCCTTGCTGCCTTCTCCCCAAACTCAGCGTCCCTCGCTGCGCACACCCTCCTCCGAGCTCGCTTCTTCCTCTAACCAAGCTGCTTCCCCGCTGTGCGGCCCGGCAGAACTGCAAAGTAGGGTTCCCAGGTTTGTGCCTGACCCCCTTAGCTTCACAGCAAGCAATGCTGAGGCCCCGTTATTGCTTGAGCTCCCCGAGCATCGTTCAGAGGGAGATGGATGCGGTAATGGTTTGAGTCCCTCACGGCACCGAATGTGGTCATCAGAAATACCGGGCAGTCACCCGTAGGAATGAGTGTTGTACAACAACGAGGTGTAACATCGGGGGCACAGGCACAGCTGAGGGATTTTTGTTTTGTTTTGCTTTTTAAAGGTTGGGCTCTCTTTAGAAGTTTGTCGTCATGGGTGCTTTGGTGGGAAAAAGAGATGCTGAGGTTTGTTGGGAACTTTTATTTCTTCTTTTATAATGGGTACTTAACATTCCGAATATACATTTCTAAACAGAGAAGGAGGGATCCAAATGAGTAGTCTCACTCCAAATGTTCGCTGAGACCCTGAAAGAAGGATTTCACAAAGGTGACTCATGTTATGCAAATAAAACCAAATGTAAATTGTATGTATTTTCTGGATATTTAAGACTAAACCAGAGACAAATCACATTTTAAATTTCTAGGGTTCGGGGGCACTTTTTTTAGTGGAAGGTGGGAAATCAGATATATTTGGGTCTTTGGGGTTTTTTTAAGGTTTCAAATCCGTAAGCAAACATTTTGCAATCTTCAGCAAGTACATGGCCTGTGAAATAACAGTGCCCCAGGAAGGGACTTCCCAACCATGGCTCCTCCTCACCCCCAGCCAGCATCCCATTCTCTGTGAGATCAGCCTACTTCTGTGAGATTGCTCCAACATTTAAAGTTTTGGCTTCCATTCCCAGCTATGACACTGATTCATAGAGATAATAGAAGTGAAGTGCTTGGCTTGCTTATTCCTTAGTTCTCCTATGTGCGAAGTGGAAAGATGGTAAGACCAGCCCTTCAAAAAGGTGTTAAAGATTATTGAGTTGAATTACATAATACCTAGAATTTCATGAAGAAGTTTTTTCCATTTCAAGAAGCTTCCTTTAATTAAAATAATTTTCAAACTTCTGATTCCTCATCTGTGAAATGAAGGGGCCATTGAAATCTCTAAGATTCTTTGCAGTTTTACCATTATAAGGTGGATTGCAAATTCTTTGTGATGCAATCAGAGATGATCCTAAGATATATCAGGGTTAGGAAAAAACTCATTCACTAATAGCTCTTGCTCCGCCCCTCTAAAGTGAATGTAATAAAAACATGTTTTTTATGCTTTAAACTTTTAGCATCTACTGTGAACTGCAACTGCAAGAAACATGAGTAGTAAAATCTCATTGTATCTAATTGTTTCTTAAAAGTAGCTCCTGAACTTATTAACAAGAAAGTAAAGGATAATTAGATCTTAAAGACCTTTTTGCTAGACAGATAATTAATTACCTTAAGAAGAATGTAAATAGTAATTCATTTTAATGTTATTGAAACCATTTTATGTATATTATTATGGGAGTTAGCAGACAGTAACTCCCAAAATAATGCAAGGATATGTACAAAATGTCTATTGACAGTGACTCATACCCTATTTTTGTCTGGCTCTTTATTAAAGGTACATTTACAAATAAGAGGGGGCACCCCAAAAAACCCCAGAATTTATTTTTTTTAAATTATTTATTCTTCCATGCTTAAACTTCAGTCACCTTCAAAGCATTCTCCATAAGATGCCTATCAAGATGTTTTTTTCCACTGCTGCTCAAAAGAATTTTTGAACTTGTTGGTTTTGATGCCTTTTAGTGCTTCTACCGTTTTTTATTCTACCTCTTCCACACTGGCAAAACATTTCCCTTCGAGGATTTATTTCATTTGGGAAAATACAAAAAAAGTCACTTGGGGTGCAATTAGGTGAATAGGGAAGATGGGGCATGGAGGTCATGCCATTTTTAGTCAAAAACTGCTGAAAATCACCCATCATGAAACGGGCAAATGCATTTAAAGAGTCTTCAAAAACATTTTCTGAAGTCGAATGCAACCTCTTACAACAATGCCAGCTGGTACACCGATACAGATGGGTTCCTAGAATACTCACCTAATGGGGAAAGCCTGTACTATAAGGGGCCCGCTCTCTAGGAGATAATTCTCGTTTTGGGGGGGAGTCTCCCCATACATACATATGTCAGTAACTACATCCAATTACTCGATTTTCTCTCATTTAGAAGAATGTTGCACCATAAAATTCAACATAAAACATTCTGTTAAATCACTCTGTAACTTCAGGTAAATACAGATACTTATTTTGCATAATAGATATCCCTGAACATGTATTTCATAGAAAGATATGATAGCTCACAAAATATATTTCTGTCATTCATAAATCATACCATTAGGAATTTGGGAAATTTCATATTTGGAGGTTTATTACTGATTAGTTTTAAATTAACAAAAATGAACCTTCTTTAGAGAGCTTGGGGTGTAGCTTGAAAACATAGACAAATATGTTACAAAATAAAGAGTGGGCCAGTAATTATAACCAAAATTAGTCTTAGTTTCCCCCCATCCAGCTTTATTAAAATATAATAGATAAATTTATTTATTCCTTAGTTTTCAATGTTCTGATGAATATGCTGGCAGACCATAACTTCTTGAAAAAATAAAAGGGAATAAGGTAAAAATTAAGAAGGGTTATGAAAGGTTTTCTTAGGCTCCGCCGAAGAAGAAATGCCAACCTACCACAAAGTTAGGCAGTATAGAGTTTTACTGGGGTTTGCGCACCCTGGCGAGGTTCTGTGGTCTGAAAAGTGAGGCAGAAGAAGTCATGCCCAAGCAGGGAATGTGGCCGGGTTTTATTTTGGTTGGTTCTCTCCGTGGGAGCTGGAGATTGGTCCCCTTTGAACAAAGCGGCAATACATCATTGGTGGTTCTCTTTGGGCTCAGGTTGCTATGCGGATATCCGCTTTGGCAAAGCCTCTGGCTCCGGCTCCCTGGTTTGGTTTGACGTCAGCTGTCTTTTCTGGGTTGTAGTTCAGCTGCCATTTTGTCCCACCCCGCCCATCCTGACAGGTTAGAACAGCAATTTTCAACTGATATGCTACAAGAATTTTGAAAATATGCAGTACTGACTGTTTAGTCAGGGGCACTGACCTCTGTTCCTTTGGATTGTGAAATTTTTTTAAAAAATGACAACAGCCAACACAACAATAGCCATTGGTGTGAGTGAATAAAAATTACACCTATTTTTTGTCAGATCAGCAAAAAATATATTTTTGGTGTGCCGCAGAAGTTCAGTAATTAGTTTATGTGTGCCATGAGATAGATAAAAAGGATGGAAAATTGCTGCTTTAGAAAAATAATGTGTATGTGAATATACTATAAGTTATGATGTAATACTCAAACATTAAGTTTTTATTATTAACACTATTTTAGTGAGGATAAATGTTAAATTGCTATGTTAAGGAGAGTCAAAATTACAACTCTTTCATTGAAGGTAGAAGTTTATGTCTTTTGCATGAGTCTTAGGTGAAGGGGTCCCAGTTGGTGGAGTGGCTCTCCTCCAGACCATCATTCAGGTACTTTCCCTCTCGTCTTCCTGTTATCCTTAGGACATAATCATTTTAATGGACACTGTGTTCCAGCTCAGGGGAAGGGAAAAGCAAAGATCTAAATTAAGCAATGTTCCTTTTAAGCAAGTGAGATTAAATGGTACAAATCACTTCAGCTCTCAATTCATTGGAAGAAACTAGTTGGTTATAAGGTCAGACTTAGACTGGCCCACCATGTGCCCAGGAAGAAAGGAAGATGGATTTCACCTTGTGGGAGTTGCAGGGAAACTAGCAATCACCACGTTTAATTTTTAATTATCATAGTGGAAAGGAAACAAGAATATTATTTAACACAGTGTTAATAAGGATAAATATTGGAAGGGCTAGAAGTATGGAGGGAATCAAATGTAAGAATATCAGTTTTAGCCCTGGCTAGTGTGGCTCAGTGGATTGAGCTCCAGCCTGCAAATTAAAAGTTCACTGGTTCAATTCCTGGGTCAAGGCACACACCAGGGTTGTGGGCCAAGTCTCCAGTTGGGAATGTATCCCACCAGCATGCCCTACCCTTAGTTCATGTCCATGGGCCATATACACAAGTTATTTGGCTTCTACATTTCCTATACTACTCTTATCCTCCCCCTATTTATTTTGTACCTACCATTTATGCTTATTCCCTGTACATTTTCTCCCATTGTCTCCCCTTGCCCTACCTGCTAATATCCTCCATGTGATTTCCATTTCTGTAAATCTGTTCCTTCTAGTTGTTTCCTTAGTTCATTTTTGTTTTTGTTTTTTTAGGTTCAGTTATTGATAGTTGTGAGTTTGTTGCCATTTTACCGTTCATAGTTTTGATGTTCTTTTTCTTAGATAAGTCCCTTTAACATTCCATATAATAAGAGCTTGGTGATGATAAACTCCTTTAGCTTTACCTTGTCTGGGAAGCACTTTACCTGCCCTTCCATTCTACATGATAGCTTTGCTGGATAGAGTAATCTTGGATGTAGCTCCTTGCCTTTCATGACTCCAAATACTTCTTTCCAGCCCCTTTTTGCC